AGAAGAGAGCTGTGTTCCTCCATAAATCTTGCAAAAACCCATCACCTGGGACAACTTGATTGAAGTAGCTGTTGTAGCTGAAATTAAAACAAAAGAAAATTGTTATTTTGCTTGAAGTTGGCGAGACTAACTGGACCAAAACATCTCAGTTGTCTTAAAAATTTGCAAGTCGGATTTTCTTTACAATGTAAATCAAAATGTTTCAGTGAAATTTTGAATTGCCGAATTTAAACGCCTGTCTGACTGACGCTGGCAGAACAAAACATTGGGTTTGTCGCGTTTGCAAATCAGTGGTGATAATACATACGTAATGTTAAATTTGTTTTGCTTTAAGCATTAACGAATAAAGTGGGAAAATGTCTGAAATATAGAAGAGAAAGAATAGGAAGCTTTAAGGCACTCTGCTGTGAGGATATTCAGGTTTATCGCCCATCCAGTTCCTAAATCGCCTGACTGAGCTCATCAGGCTGATTTTCCCTGACCCTAGCGAGAGAAACTGGGCGAAATTGCAAGGTTTTCAGTGTAAGCTAAGGCAAGGGTTTCTAGGACCGAATCATAATCATAACCATAGTTAATATCATGATCTCTGATAATAATCAACTTAAGTTACAGAGCGTGACGACAGCTAGTTAAAAACTGAAAACTTGTGGCCCTCAAAGATGTCAAGCTAGCCAAAAGATATGCGCATAACTTGGAAAAAAAAAATAACAAACGTACAAACAGTCAAGTGTGGATAAGGTCATAAGAAAAAGTAAACTAATCAGAGCGGTTCGGGGGGTTACTTGTCTGGCAGGTCGGTACTCTCTAGTGGCCTTTTTTTCGGATAGTAATTTTTCGAAAGGTAATTAGCTTTCTATAAAACAGCTGTGCACTGAAAAGCTGGATTGAGGCCAAACCAGGGAAGAACACTAGTGCACTTCGCTGCATTTTCCCCGCCATACCCCCCCCCCCCCCCGCGCCCCTCGCCTCCTCTCCCTTCTAATTCTTCGTTTTACCTTGATCGGTTATAAACCAAATAACCCACTAATTTGTTTTCAACATTTCCAAACCTAAAGAAAACACTGTATCCGTTTAACCAATTTCAGAGAGTCCATTATACTGTATACCAAAAAACGACGTGAAAACAAAATTACTCTTAGTTACTGATAACTCAATTACTTGCAGCGAAGGAAAATTACAATTTTGAAAGGCTTACCTAGTTGGATGAAAAGTCGGAAATCCGAAAGACATGTCGTAGAAACTTTGGTTCCAATTCTACTTCTTGAAAATCTTCAGGGATATCTCTTTGATTCTTCTGAGGTTTTTGTTTGAACTGTTGGTCGGTGAGAAAAGCCCTTGTACTTTTGTAGGTGATAAAAGTTATTTTCGAACTATCAATCGGTACTATAATTAAATCATTTGTCAGCATTTTTTGAGAGTCAGACTAGCTTGAGCTGATTCATTCTGACAAAATTTAACAGGAATAAAAAGTTACTCTTTTTTTAATTTTCAGTGAGAAAAAACGAGAAGTTCTTAGTTTTGCCAAAAATGTACATTAGGCAGTTTTGTTATTTCGTTTCGTTTTGTTGCACTGAGATATTTCTGTTTTATTTTTCTACTTTAATCACGGATGTCACGGGGAGAACGGAGAAATGTAGTTAACGAAGTTACTGATGGGGCTAAAGTTCAAGTTAGCTTTTGTTCCCGTTTTTCATTTTCCCGCTCACCGTGGTGGTTTCCAGTCCAGTCCCTTTTTCTCTTTTTAGCTACTTACATCTCTTTGATAATTTTCTCAATATTATATTTTTATAGTGAACTTTAGATATTTCTAGATACCAGCAACAGATGAAGAGCCACAATGTGCATACTCTGTTAATAAACCGTCTACAACCTTACCTACTAACCCGAGTCACTTGCTATGTTTAGGTTTCAGTATAATGCATGCTGGTGACTAGATCAATCCATAGAACTGAACGAAAACTTGAATTAATTTAAGTGTAAATTTGTATTATTAGCAGTTGTTCGTACTGTTTTACGTACGCTTCATTAAAGAATGTCAGAAATGACTCAAATCATACAAATGCCTGAATAATCCATCTAATAATGATGCACGTCTAAATATTAGCCTAATATTAAAATGCTTGATACTGAAGGCTATAAAATCAGTCTCATTTCTCAGCTTTAGTGCGTTCCAGTTCACGGTTAGGTATAATAAAAACAGTGTTCTAAATAAAATGAATCATGTAAAAAAAAAAGGTTGGTGTGTTTGTCATGACTTACAATAGGCCAAAGTGTTTCGTAACAGTGCAAACATTTTGAAGCAGTTTATCAAAAATAGTCTGGGTTCATGTAAGTCGCCTCGGCAAATCCAAGTTTTCGGTTTCGTAAGAAAAGTGAAAAAGGAAATAATTTAGCCTTGCTATATTCACATTATTACCCCTAGTAGCTTAAAATTTTCAAATAGAAAGATGTAGTTTCTCGTTTCGACTCATTGAGGTCGTTGCCAAGACATTTTGTATACTGCTAGAAGTGATTACTTTTTTCAGTTTTACTTTTGTTAATATATATTTTCGGAGAAATCAAGAAAAAATTGTGTCGAAATTTTTCGAAGAATGTATAATGGCGTCATGTATGGGCTCAGCCGTAACGTTTTTATCAATCAACAATATTTAATTTTGCAGCTTTATATGCTTGATAATTCCTTCCTTGTTTAAAAAAAAAAGAGTTAAAGAGTTAAAAATGCTCAAGTGCTTGAATGCTCAGGTTATAAGATAACCTCTCCGAAACCATAATTATCCTAGAAAGAAATAAAGTATCAACAATGAAGAAAAAAGCCAATGCCGATTACTACTCCAATTTATTTGACGAAGTAGACACCGCTGCTGCTTACTAGAGACTACTGAAAAAGACATGAGGAACAACAAAAGTAAACAGACAAGCTCACCAATTAAAGAGGACGATGGGAACCTCACAACAGATGACACCGAAAAGGAACTATGGTAAACGATTATTTCTGTACAGTTAATGAAAAATTGATTGGCCCCGCGGATGAAATCAGTAGACAATGTAGACATTCCAACTACGACCAGCATCACGATTAGTCAGATGAAAATCGAGGAAAAGATCTGTAACTTAAAAGTGAAGACAGCTGCGAAGCCAGATGACGTATGTGCGCGTTATTTAAAGTATGCGGGTATGTCTATTGCCCCATCTCTCACGAGCTTGTTTAAACACAGTGTTGATGCCTTCAAGCCACCAGACCAGTGGAAAATAGCTAGAGTCAGTGCAGCGTTCTAAAAAGGACGAGGGGAAGACATTACATGATACGGACTACTATCTAAGCTCAGGATACCAAGTAAATTAATGGAATCCTGTGTCGCACAAGTAATATTACTAATCACGTGGTCACGCAAAATTTACTTCATAACAGAGGAAGGAAAAGTCAGCAGAACAGCTTTTAATTCACCTAAAAGAGAGGTGGAGAGAAGCAGTAGAAAAAAAGCTTTATGTAGCAATTCTGTTTGTCGATTTCACTAAAGCTTTCGACACAGTGTCGCACAATATATTACTACAAAAGCTGAACGACATTGGAATCAGAGGAGATGTCTGGCTGTGGTTAAAGAACTACCTCACCGAACGATGACAAGTCGTCAGAATTAACGGATGCTACTCCGATATATGCACCGTAACTCACTGAGTGCCGCAAGGGTCGGTCCTCGGACCCACGTTATTCTCGCTCTTCACAAACGACCTCCCAAAATCACTACGCTCTAAGGAAACGTATCTGTATGCAGACGACACAACAATACTGCATCGCAGAAACTATGGATTTGCTAACAAACACACCAAACAATGTTCTAGCTGAACTCCAGGAATGTTGCGACAGAAATTTGTTAGTACTACACCCAGAAAAATGTAAACCAATGATCATGCAGCGGAAATCAACATTTTCTGGCCCTATCCAAGCTCTTCGTCTTGGCAACAACATCGATCATAAAGTGGACAACCTCAGGAAGACTCCTCGGAGTACAGGTTGATAACAAGTTGCCCTGGTCAGATCATGCTGCAAATGTAGCGAAGTCCTTCGCATCCAAGTTAAGTTTAATCCCACGCATACGATAGGCTCCCTCGCAAGCAATTAGAAGACTTCTACACAAAAGTGATACGGTCATCAGCTACATACGGCCTGAAAGTGTGGGGATCTTTCAACAAGACGAACATAAAGAACCTGGTGAAATTCCATACAAAAGCTGGACGAATTATACATGGGTTCCCATGGGACACAAGTGCTAAAGATGTCATAACGCGAACTGGATGGGACAGTTTGGAAACAACGTACAAAGTGTGATTAACGGAGTTTCTCTTCAAATGTATAAAGGAATGTAAAGATTTGGTTTTACAGAGGAATTCAGGCCGCAGAAGAAATGAGAACATCATTCTTCCAAGACCAGAAATGAATTTATTCAGAAACCCCATTGGAACAGTTTAACGAACAGGGAGACAAGGGATAAAACATCGAAAAAGTTTAAACGCTGTCTTGCAAAATTTGATGCTGATAAAATGAATTTCGAACCTATTTTAGCTACAACTATTGGTTACAAATATTTTAAACACTTTTTAATTGTTAATTGTACATTTGTTTTCAGTACTCCTTATTTTTTTTGTAATTGTTGTATGCACGACTCCAACAGCAATGCTGATCTTCGTATCTTGCTAAAATAAAGTTCTTATCTTATTTTATCTTGAGGAAACATTTGTGCCTGTTTGTCTGCTTAAATGATAAATCAATTCAAAAACTGACGCAAGAAAATGATTTACTAAATTCGAAATTACTATTTTATAATCAAATTGTTCTCTAAGTGTTGATAACTTAACAAGCATTAAATGCTATGCTGAAATGTTGCTTAGCTTCTCGAGAAAATTTTAATCAGAAATTAATGTAACAAAAAATTGACAAACTGTTCTATACGATCGCGAGTGATTCCTTACAATCTGCAAACGCAGTTGATTTAGCTTTTATT